GGGGGGGGGGGGGGGAGAGAGAGAGAGAGAGAGACGTTTTCATCATTCGTTGAGTCATACATTGTTCGCGAGAATCGAGATGGTTTTCATCGAAAGAGCATCAACGAAACAACAGCATATTCGTCGAGTATTCTATGTACTAACAAGTTAGAAAGTAGCCCATCGCGCGTGTGTATCTCGTGCTTGCGTTCTCGCGCACGACATACGCATACCGTATGTCGTATTCGGACTAGGGATGGGCGATATAGTATCGATATTTCAAATATCTCAAATACATATCGAAATATCAAATATTTCAAATATACAACTAAACAAGTCCTCTAACAGATGTCCTCTCGCCTAAACTCTATATTTTCCCTATATTTTCTTTAAAGTTGGTAATGTTGGGGTATCGACTGAATAATCCCTGATGAACCAATAATGAGCACTGATATAATCCGTAAAGTAGATTGACATATTCTATTGGACGGAAACATGCACAACATGTCTTCAATCTTTTACGTTAATAGATCTAGAAAAAGGAAATAAATGTATGGTCATTGATCTTCCTGCTGACTTTTCATTGGTTGAATTTTGTTTAATAAGAAAGGGAATAGTAACGTATTTTTACAAATTTAAAACTTCCTCAACATGTTACAATATAAGTTACAATATAATAACATTACACTATAGGTACGTAACATTGTATGTAATCACATGTTAAACACCAATATATCAACTCATGCATAAATAAAATTAATATTATTTATAATTATATTGCGGTATGTTGAAAAAGGTTAGATGATATCGATAATATCGATATCACTAATATCGATACATTCCATCTGATATTTTTTATATATCGATACTTTTATTTACGATACGTTTCGATACGAAATATCGATACTTTCTACCGTATCGCCCATCCCTAAATTCGGACTCGATTTTCACTAGGATCGTAGAAGCAACTTGCGTTGGTCTGCAAAATGCCGATCTAAGCTTCAAATGAGTCTCTACGCGGTGCAATTGGTAAAAGGTAGAGTTGCAAGGTATCGTTTCTTCGCGCGCGAGCGTATGCGAGATTCGACGAGCTGCTCGCTCGTCGAATCTCGAGAATGCGCTATAAGCTTTTGTACGTTAGAGGTGCGTTACCTCGTTTAAATGTCAGTAGCAAAGTTTCAACGGATCTGAGTTTTCTTTACATCAACTGGATAATCGTCCGATTGTATAATTGCACAGTTAAATAATAAATGTGTAATTATAATAATTGCACACATTATACGCTTCTCTTCAGTCTCGAGAATGAAATCGAACATCTGCGGAAATGTAGAAAGCTCTGGTAATACACGCGCGATTCGTGAAATAAATGTATACGCAATCCGCTTCGTTCATATTCATATCCTGGATAAAGCGAATAACAAGCAAGCCCGTAGAAAGCGGCTAGCATGGCGTTACATAGAGACTAGAAGTGTATCGGTTCTTGGCACGGTCGACATGGTCGATGTATACAGGCGCGAGAATTCGCGCAAGTGAGACTATTGGCGGGAGTTGCTTTCGAGTCGAAGGACGATCGAGAGGAGAACGCTCGCACAACTCGGTTGCCTTTTTCGCGCGCGCGCACACCCGTTATACTCGGCCGTTTCCTACCGTATCGCGATCGTGAAAGTATCGCTCATACGGGAAGTACGAGCTAAACTGACCATGTAAGAGTTTGCGAATTACGCCAGCGTGTTCGACGCATATTTGATGTCGTTCGATCTGCAGAGGATCTGCTTGGGCAACTGATGCTGCGCAAACTTGCTCGAAATACTCCGGCACGAAAAAACGCCAAAATAATTTTGTCTCTACATAAAATCACACGCCGTGTCTCCACACGGTCTGATCACAATGCGTTGAATTGCGCGAGATATTTTGCGCGTCGTTGTGGCAAAAGCGAGTTACATAAGTTGTGCGTGTAATGATCTCGTAACGTTCTCATAGTATTGTCTCGGTTGATTCTCGTCAGCGCGGAAAATTCAACTCCTTTCAAAATGTCCTCCATTTACCGCCGTGAGATGATGGCATTTAGAGGAAAGGAGCGTTTTCCCGCTTCGAGAAAATATATATATATCTCGCTCGCGAACCAGCCTTTCGATCGTATTATGGTAAGTCGAATGAAACATAATAAAGTGCATTGAGCGAGTCCCGATCGTCGCACTTCGTTTGCCACTTGAAAGCAAGCTGAACGAGAATCTTTATCGTGAATCATTAGTGCTATTCCTGAGTAATACGAGCTGATTATCTATCAGCGCGATTTCATTATTCGCGTAGCCGTGAATATTCGCGATAATATCTGGAGTTATCTGGCGTAAAGTGTAAGCACAACTCAAAGTTGTCTCATTACGGCGCCATTATCGCACAAAAATGTGAGGACAACGCGTCTTACGACGTACCTCGTCGAATGACTGATTGTGCGAGGTCATTGCAGTGGTGGGATTTCATTGATGTGTTTCGAGGGAAAGGAAATTCTCCGCGACCGAGGAGAATTGTCTCCTCGAGGTCCGCGCAACACAGTGAGCTGACGAGGGATAAATAAAACAGAGTTAAAAAATATCCCGTTCCAATGTTGTTCTCGATCGGTCGCTCCTCGCAATTATTCATTTTTGTATTAAAAATGAACGACTCGTTATCCCTCATATCTCCTTTTAACAATCGCGACCCTAAGGAAAAGTCGCAAGTTGGTTTATGGCGATCTATCAATTATGATTATCCTTGCTATTTACAGCTACATAATTCACATAATTTACGACAGTTTCACCAACGACTGTCGTAAAAATGTAACGCGACTCTCGTTGCATTTCATTTCGTCAGTTTCATTGACGACGATCGATGCATATACGCTCGCGTCAAAGCGTTTTTTAATTTTTATTCGCGACTTATAGGCAGTGGGTCGGGGAGAAAGTCATAAACAAGTAGAAATCATATAATCTCGCACGTCCTCAAATTAGAGAAAATGGAAACTCTCTCGCGCGCTAAAAACTCCGGATTACTTCGAGAAACGCAGAATCGTTACGAACATATCTTCATTAGTGATTAGTTCTGACTTTTACGTATAGATGTATCGGTTGAATAACCGATGAGTTTCCTTGTCGACGAATATCTAGGCGGGATCACCTTTGCGATTGTGCATTGTACGAATGTGACGACACGCTGATGTATGTGACAAAGGGACTTTGGAATTGAATCGCATTCCACGAGGCTGCTCAAGAGCAAATGGACGGATAGAACGACTTTGTCTCGGTCTCATCGCGCAAACGTTTATTTTATAATTAATCATGGAGAGACTATGTGTGTGTATGTGATAGCGATAGTAAATAAAGTTGCTCGCGCAAAAGTACTTGTGCAAGCAACTTTTGACAGAACTTTGGAATAGATGTACGACAAAAATATACTTGTGGTATATCCTTAGATTTAGAAAAGCATTACTGAAGAATGAAATTTATTAAACTCTCGTTGGTTTGTAGAAACGATTCAATCTTGGGACACACTTTCGCAACTGATTCCAACGAATTTAGTGTATGAGAAGCAAGATCGAAATGCATCTCCGCCGAGCAATGAGGCTGATGCATCGTTGGGCCATTCGCTGGACGAGAACAACGTTATGGATATATCGAAATCGAAGGGAGGAGGAGGCGACGAGGAGAAAGAACTTAACGAGGAGGAAGAACCTAAGTTAACGTTTAACACTGAAACTACTGAAGAAGAATATGATGATGAAGATAAGCAAGTGGAAAATGGTGAGAGTGAGATCGAGAAAGAGAAAGAGGAGGAGGAGGAGGAGGGGGAGGAG